GCCCATGGAGATGTGGAGTTTATCTAATGGATCTATGATGCCTAAGTTAGCGCCTCTAAAAAGAGTGAGTGTTTAGGGCTTGTATGTGTAGCTAAAAGCTTACCAAAATTTGGTGGAGATGGAGATATTTACAGGAGAAGGTGGTTGACCATAGGGTTAGGGTTTTGCCATACACATGGCGGAATCCTATTGGCCAAGGTGTGTCATTTGTTGGATGAATGAGGAAAGAATATTCCCAAGAGATTAATTAGGAGAAAATATCTTGGGATAATGGTGGAAGTATCCTTAATTGATTGTGTAGGGATTGCTTTCTTGACGAAGTTGATCTTCAATTGAGAATGTATTGAAGATATGATTTAGTAATTAATCCTTATCCTTAATGCCTTTTGACTTTTCCATGCCACGAGCAGGGAAGCCTTAAGCAGGCTTCATTAACTATTTAGACCGGGATGTTGAGCTGCGCATGAGAGTATTTGGGTGCCCTGCCCATTTAATGATGGTAATCTTATCTTTTTTGAGGAAAAATCCACGTGTCATCTTCTAGATTTTTGGGATTATTTCTAGCTCCACATCACTGAAGAGCAATGAAGATCTAAGGCTATTGGCATGGTGGTCTTCGATACGATTGAGGAACAATGAGCAAAGGGAGGAAGATGATGTGAAAGATGTTGTTACCTTCTGTGGTGACAAAAAAAAATAGACCCATGGACTCGTAGAAACCAACCTGTTTCAAACAGGTTAGGTCTGGTTCCAATTTTAATTTTCTATTACCCTGCCTCGCTCGCCCTGTTTTTTATTTTCAAGTCCGGTCCTTTCAATTTTGGGTCGGCCTGATCCGAGCCAACCCCTACTCCAAACACTTGACAAGAGTCACATCCTAACCACTCCAATCCAATCTTAACCAATCCTACCTAACAAAACCAATCTCATCTGACTTACCAAATGAACTCTAAAATGTCACTTTTATTAAGCGAGATTATCGAGGCCACCTCTCTGCCATTTAATGTGAATCCAAGCGTTGACTTGAGGACATTTTTATCAACTCAAGCTCCTTGTTTATACGTTGAAATCTCAATGAACAGTAATTTTTATTATCACAATAAATTCGAGGTTCTACATTTTAATTCTCCTCTTAAAGTATCACCTTGTCTTAAAAAAAAAAAAGAAACAATTCACTTCATAAAAGGAAAAACTTGTAATTCAAAAACTTTTAGTGGAGACGAGTAAAATGGGTTAAACGAGTGCTTTTTTAAGAGGTAAATATAATTTCGTGAAAATAAATAATTATATTTTATAGGAAAAATATTTTTCTGAGATTTTTGAAGTTGGTACAGGCTGTAACCTGCTGCTCTGTTGCCTCTTCCGGTTCTCCACCCACAAACTCAAGCTTTGAAACTCTGCAATCCCAACTTTCAACTCTGTAATCGAGAAGAAGAAAGGTACCAGAAGAGATGAGCGTCATCGAAATCTTGACGAGAGTAGAGGCGATCTGCCAGAAGTACGACCGTTACGACGTCGAAAAGCAGAAGGATCTCAATGTCTCCGGCGACGACGCCTTTGCTCGCCTCTACGCCTCCGTCGAATCCGACATTGAAGCCCTCCTCCAGGTCCCTCCGCCTCTCTCTTTCTCTCAGAAACGCACATACACACGCGATTTTCACTCAATTCGATCTCTGTTTGGTTTCTGAGAAAACTTGGAAAAATTGGAGAAACTAGTAGCTGATCCGGTCGAAATTCCCGAGAATTTTAGGGTGAAGTTAGGGTCTTTTCTTCCTTTGGTGTGTTGAACTGAATTTGAGTATTTTCTGATCTGCAGAAAGCGGAAATTGCTTCGAAAGAGAAAAATAGGGCATCGGCTGTTGCGCTGAATGCCGAGATTCGTAGGACCAAGGCTCGATTGCTCGAGGAGGTTCCCAAATTGCAGAGATTGGCTATGAAGAAGGTCAGCATTTCACTGTTTTAATGAAATTCGTTAGTTTTCGTATTTTGGAATTGTGCATTTCATAAATTTTGTATTTAGAGGGGCACATTCTATTCAAAATTGAAAATTGGAAGACGTTTGTGCTCGTCTATGTGGATTTTAGTCCTTGTTTAGTGAGAGTATGTCGAAGGGTTTGTGTGTGGGATGCCTCTGTGTTTGTGTGTAGTCGAAGGGTTGACCGTATAGTATACAAAGAATGCTTACTTTGCGGTTTTGGTTATTGTGTTTCATAATTGATGCTATTTTTTGGCAGGTTAAGGGGCTTTCATCCCAAGATTTTGCTGCTCGTAATGATTTGGTCCTTGCGTTGCCAGATAGGATCCAGGATATTCCAGATGGGACTCCAGCTGCACCCAAACAAACTGGAGGAGGTTGGGCAGCTTCAGCTTCTCGTACGGAAATCAAATTTGATTCTGGTAATTTCTTACATTTTATTATGATTTTGTGGTGCCTTTTTAATGAATATAATATATGGGCAGCTGAATTCTATTTGATTAATTTTGGTTAAATTTACTTATATATTTCATGTATACCGGTAGAGGGACGGTTTGATAATGAATTCTTCCAACAGTCTGAGGAGTCGAGTAATTTCAGGCAAGAGTATGAAATGCGGAAAATGAAACAGGCAAGTCATATATATAGAGTTGTTTTTTGTTTACACTGGGAATTTCTTTTTGAAAAATGGACATTGCATGCTTGCTTGCTAGTTGGATACTGCAAGTCTTAGGGATGTGGGTTTGTATTTATGTATTTTGACATGCTCACAGGATCAAGGTTTGGATATGATATCAGATGGTTTAGATACTTTGAAAAATATGGCTCAGGATATGAACGAGGTTAGTAGTTTTTTGCTTGGTTCTACTTGCTCATTTGCAATATACATGCATATGTCAGCTGACTTTATCATGTGCTACGCGTAGGAATTCGATAGGCAAGTACCTTTGATGGATGAGATTGACTCCAAGGTGAAAAACATTGCCGTCTTCTACTACATCTTTCAAGATGTTCAGTTGAATTCTCAAATTTAATTACTAATGTCCTTCCTTTTAACAGGTGGACAAGGCATCTGCGGACCTTAAGAATACCAATGTTAGACTGAAGGACACAGTCAACCAGGTGAGTGTAATTGCAGCTTTTTTGAGTTTATGATTGCACATCAGAGATTTTTCTTTTGTTTTTGTTTTTAGATCTAATACAAGTTTTATTTTGGTTACAGCTGAGGTCCAGCCGAAATTTCTGTATTGATATTGTATTGCTGTGTATAATTTTGGGCATTGCTGCATATTTGTACAAGTAAGCTCATATCCATTTAAATGAATCTACATGTTGAGTTAGATAAACGTCTAGATGTGTTTCCTTGTAATTTGGTTGTACATATATGAAAAATATTGAGATGTTTGGGTTAGTACTATTAGAGGGCCAAAGAGATAACTTGATGTCATTGCACTCTTTAGCGGACCCAGGATTGACGTGTGGGGGGCATTAAAAAAACTAGCCAATACGTAGTCAAGTACAAAACTTGAATTGAATATTTGATAACATTTCCAATGAGTATATTTTATACTTGTCCTCAATAACATTTCTTGTTTGAACATTGAATAAAAAACTTTTTAGTTTATTGAATATGTCATCCTCAGAATATGCAACCTAGTAATCGCAGGAAATACATAAATGAAAAACAAAGGTTGCAAGATCATTTTTTTGGCTTTCAGCTTGCAAAACCAGTTGATATTTGAAACTTGAAGATTGTGAGCTCACAAAATTTTCTGTGCAAGTTCTCCCATTTTTGGGTGCACTAGGGTCTAGATATTTGGGAAAATAAGCAAACATGTGTAAAATAACTTTTTCTTTTTGCCTTAGGGTACGTCGTTGCTTTTTGCCATTTTCTGTTATTGTAATAGTAGTGGGATTTGGGGTTTGAACTGAAGTGGAGAGTGGTCTTTAATTGAGTTCAGTGGGGGCTTAGGTTTGTCAAAAATAAAAAGTAATATTGCTTGAATAATTAGTTGTATCATTTAGATCAATTCAAACCATAAAAGAATTGAAGTGGTGCAGATTAATACACTAGTTCAGTAGTCCCTCTGTACTTCTGCCCCTCTGCACTGTTCAGACTATGATTATACATGAGAAGACTTTACTGCTACTTGAACAACTAGATATAGGACCCTACGTTCTCTGAATTATTGGTTTGATGGAGTAGAGTTGAACTTGATCATTTGAACATCTGCATTCTTGCGAAGATGTGTCATTTTTCGTATTCTGATGTGGTACTTTCATTTGCAGTGTACTGAAGAAGTGAGGTTTGATATAGAGGGTGGTTTGGCCAGATTCCAAGTGTGGGCTTGTCGGGTATTGTTTTGCAATTTAAGGACTCACTTTGGTGCTAGATACATGTTAATTGATCGTTTGTCTCATGTTTAATAGTGTCTATTCACACTTCCATGAATGTATTTTTTGTATACATCAGTCATGCTGTATTATCGTACTTTTATGTGGAAGTTGATTGAGTCCCCTAATGTGTGTAATGTCGGTGAGGCGAGTTTGAATACTTCAAATTGTTAAAGGACTATTGTTGGCCATTGTAGTTAGTAGACAGGATTGACAGCTTCATTTCGATCTTATATGAATCTTCTCATGGAATTGGTGTGTTATTTTTGGGCCTGCTCGAGATTTTCTGTCGCCTAGGCATCGATTGCGCTAAAGATAGTTGATGATTAGTGGTAATTTTAAAGTTTATAATTTGTTATAAGCTATATGTGTAGATAACCAGAGTGTTCTGGAGAGTCTCAATGGTTGAATCTCGCTAACCTCATGCTTGACAAATGGTATGACCTTGTGAAACCAATACTACGATACCATGTATAATATTCGCACATACCAATACTACGATACCACGTATTAAGAATATACATACAAATTCATTTACATGCTTTGACTGTAAACGAGTTTTGTGATACAATGATTACACTCTTTAAATGATGTAGCTAATTACAACCAGCAACACCAAACTCATTCGCTTGCTTTATTCGCCCCAATGTATAACAAATTCAACAATACACGCTATTTTACATAAAAATCACCATCGTAGAGTCCCATTGGCACAGAAGTTTCTGTCTCTATATGGGATCTTAAAATGATGTAGCTAATTACAACTCGCAACACCGAACTCATTTACATGCTTTGTTCATCCCTACGTATAACAAATTTAACTATACACACTAATTTACATAAAAATCACCGTCGCAGAGAGCCTTGTTTGCACGTAAGTTTCTCTTTGTCGTAGTCATCTCTGTTTGGGATCTCGAATACGTACCTTTATCTCCGGAATAATGGATATATACATCCACATACGCACTTCTCATCACTGCTTGTAGCTAGCCACTCACTTACACCTGAAAGCCAATTAATTGGCTAAGTTCTTGATACTGGATCATGGAACTCCATTGGTCTGCATTCAAATTATTATCAGCTGAGCCAGACTGGTCTACACCCCACAAGTTCATCGCTCGACAGTCCCGGCTGGTCGAGGAATTAACTTCCTCCTCCTTGTAATCTCTGCTACATATCCTCTTGCTTGGTGTGACAAAACTCTTGTACCCATTTCCTTCTGTAGGTTTTCTCTTCAAAGGGTTAATCAAATCATCACGGGAAGAAACTAAAAGCAGCTCATTGGTTTTGTTTGAATTGTTCTCGTGAAGGGAAGTACTGCAAGATTTCGTGTTTCCAGTTCCCTGAAAGTTTTTAGCGTAAGGAAGTTCGGGAGAGGCAAAAATGTAGGGTAGCATTGGACAATCTTTGTACAGATAGTTCCGGACCATTTCGATGCTAGGGTTTGTATCATTCGAGCAGGGATCATCCACTTGCTTAGTGTAGGCACCTAGTTTATAGCTAGGAGGGCTGTTTTGATCTTCCCAAATGCTCCTGGTGTTGTTGCATTTTTGTCGAACCCGACATAACACCCAATCATCCAACTGTTGTAAAAAGAAGAAGAATAGATCAGGTTTTAACAATGTTGAAACATAGTAGGATTCTCCTCTATCTTTTCCGTGCTTGTCTAACTTATGTCCAAAACATCGCCTAAGATTAATTAAGCTTAATTAAATGAAATCTATACGACAGTTTTGAACATGAACAACAATATCAACATAGCAAACAACTTTTTAATTACAAAGGTGGAAGAGAAACGACGAAGACTAGTTAGCTAGTCACTAGCTTGTCGTGTTGTTTGAGTGAATTATGAACAACGCGCATATCCAATCACGAGTCATAACTAACAATATTTTGGTAATAATTTCAGTAATCAATGGTCCGGATCCATACCATCACCTGTCGAAACCGGCAAAAGAAACTTACTCGTACCTACATGCATATTCGTCAGGATATGAAGTGATGAAACTTACCCTCATCGACCCTTTTTGCTTTGAAGTCCACATGGTTGTGTCAAGCAATCTGTACTCGTTCATGATCCACTCCGTCTTAACACCTTTCGGAGGGTGTCCTGTGTAGAACACAAGTGCTTTTTTAACCCCAATGCTTTTTGTTCCACAAGAACTAAAAATATGCTTATCAGTTCCCGTGGCCTTCCAGTAACCCAAACCAGCTGCTCTATTAGGCCTGCTTCCATTCGGGTACTTCCGATCCCTTGGGGTGAAAAAATACCACTCTTCTTCCCCGAAGGAGGCTTTTGGTGGTAGCTCCCACGGGTTGTACTTATACAGATCCAGTTCAGTGATGATGGTTGCCGGTAGAGGACATGAAGTGACTTTGTTTTTCAGATAATGAACGATGAGTTCTTCGTCGGATGGGTGAAAACGGAATCCAGCAGGAAGCTGGATGTTTTCGGTGGCTTGGTTTTCCCTCTCCATCGTTGGATGGAGGATGGATTGTTCCTTGGTGGTGGAGGAAACTAGGAATCGAATGAGCCACTGAAATTATCGTCCAAATGGTTTGTAAGTTTGGTTGTACTGTGCACTAGTTTTATAGGGAGATTACTCTCTCATGCAGAAGGGGACATATTGTCAACATATAATTCATCTATCAATATAAAATTTATTAATTTCAAGTTGTAGGTTCAAAGCAAGAGATTGGAAAAAAGAAAACTGATTGTTTTGTTTGATCACAACCGTTGGATATCACATCCTTTATCTGATCAATGATGTAATGTTTTTATCATTTCAAAAAATAGGCACGTAATTAAAGAGAGACGAGATATACTCCATTTACGTCCAAACATTTGGCCATTTGAGGGTACTGAATTTGATGAAACCAGAGACTCTAAATTAAATTCAGCTCCTATATTTGATCATATAAACAATTAATACATATCATCCAAGACTATCATTGAGATAAGATCTTCACTTGGGATACCTTTCATAGTAAAAACCCTTGTGGACTTTATTTAAGAGTTTAATTAAAATTTAAAATGGAGTTGCGTTAAGAGTACAATAATAGTTGGTGGTTAAATACTTAGTTGCTAGGGAAAAAAGCTGGTGTGGATCGAACCGCACTAAAATTATAGCCTTGCTTGATTTTCGTCGTTAAAATAAAACGTCATCTACAATATGATAAAATTTTAATAACTGAATTAACAACAAAAAAATTCATGGTATCAAAGTATGAATTTTTTTTCAAAATTCTTGCAACTAAATCAACCAATTTCTTACTTCTTATTGTGTTTTAATTTGTTTAACTATTTTGGGCATCACAAAGCATGTCATGTGGTGATATTGTTGGCAACGTGGAACACCAATGGCATATATAGTTCAATCAATGCAGAAAACATTATCAGCAACATTTCTTCTTTTGGGAGAGAGCATGGCCCTTAGCTGAGTGATTGTTGTCTTGTCCCCCAAATCATTAAGCACTTTATTTTGTGCCACACTGCACTGCATGCTTGCACTCTACTGCATTACAGGTGTCCTTTAATTTCCCTCTTGACATGCAATGCCTAGCAATGACAGCAATCCTCGTGCTAGACTGGTCTCTCCATAGCTAGCAGTGACTAGTCATGTTAGACACACATTTACGGTCGTTTAATAAGCATTTTGTTTTTAGAGTTTAGTTTTAATTTTTATGTTAATAGAGGAAGAATATATGGGATAAATAAGAGATGTATAAGAGTAGAGGACAAACGGTGTGAAAAATATAGAAGAAATGCGTAATAAAAAGAACACAAAATGTAAACTGAACACAAAATATAAAAAACTATTTTGAATTGTTTTATTTTTGAAGATTTTTTTTTTCATTCATTATTCTTGACCTCTCCCTTTTCTTCCATCAGCCTTCTTCATCCCTCATTTATCCATATGTTTTCCTCATATTTCAAGTACAAAAAGTAAAAACTAAAATTAAAAATAACATAGTTAGCAAATGGATCTTTATATTGTTAGATTCTCAATATGAATTTTACTCTTGGACAACAACTAATTAAAGATTAAATAATGGTTCAAAGTCATAGTCTGAAAGCATAAAAATTTTATATTGCCCTAGCGACTGAACATTTTTCATTCTTTTATCCAACTATAGATATATATATATATATATATATATATATCATATATTTTGCAATTGAGAATGAGAAATGTAACAAGGGACATTCAATTAAGAAAAATATATATATTCTCAACTCTGCACTATATATCTTCTGCATTAAGTCTTGTTTAGACTTCTTTCATGTGTACAATGCATGTATAGTATAATAAAGTCATCACTGGTGAATTTTATTTCACACTGATGCATAAATTACCAAAGAATACCCTCAATAGAGATGACTTATTTGTACATATAGTCAAGGTACTTATACAATCATATTGAAGTTTGATGGCAAAATTTGTCAGGGGATGGTGCCTTTGGCTTCAGTCCTTCCATCACATATACAACAGATCTCCATCTTAACAAAACTCCAAGAAATAGAACAATAATATAGAAAAAAAAAAAAAAAAAGGAGAAGACAGAATAAGGCCAACTTGATCCCCAAGATTCGATTGCATGTCTTTTCCTCCATGGAATCACTTTGTCACCATGCATTTTTCTCTTTCCACATTTTGGAGTCTCTTTCAACACTTTTCCTCCTGTCTTTTATTTTTCTTTGAAATTTCAGAAATTGCATGCGCAATTCTTTCTCCATTGAATTTTCATACAATTGAATAATGAATGTATGTGTGTGTGCGTGTATATATATTCATACTACCTTCTGATTAAATTAACACACATATATAGCCGTACCTGTACTATATAGAAACACAAACCCTAAACTTAAAACTAATAATGTGTTAATTAAGTACATACATAACAATTTCAAGTACTTCCATTGAAAAGACAAGAAATTAACATTCTTTTTACACGATCAGTCTGAAGAACCGAGGTTCCTAGTTCATCGGTTATGTTGATCAGATTTCAGAACGTTAACTTTGAGGAGCTTATTTGTTTTCAAGCTTCAAACCTTTCCTACTGGCCTGATATTTCCAAAAATAAATGGAGAAAAAACATGGCCAACATCACTCTTGGAGGACAAAGATCCCAATTACGTGACATACTTTGACCCTCTTCCTCTACCTCTGAATTGTCAGTCCATTCAATCCATGTGTGCTATAAATATATATTAAGTTAATTAAATTTTCTATTAGTTTATTTGTCACTATGCATATTAGAGTCACATCTAGAAAGCATAAGGTCATTTTAATTGAGAAGGTAACGAAGTGACCAAGAGATTGAAAGAGATTGAGAAGGGATATACATCTTACACTGCCTTGTTCTCTTGTTAAGAGGTTCAGATAACTATAAGTTAAATGATCAACGTGTGAAAATAACTTACTAGAATCGTTTTCACTGGTTTGGATGATGGACCCCGCACACAGATTTACTCAATTCGGTGAATGGAGATTGATATGAAAATGTAAGCGCCATATATAAAATAGAAATAACTGTAACTGTTAAGAATATGATTAACAACTGTATATGAAAAATATATGGAAATAACCCATTGGAAGTGAAAAAAAGGAGGGTGTGTATAACAAGTTAGCAATTTGTTTTATTTTTTATGTTAGGTTATCTGTGGTATTTTATGTACTAGGGTTTTTCAGTAGAGTAAAGATTAGCCACTTAGTACGGTTTAATAGTATTCGTTTTTACTTGTAAATGAGAGATTTAGGTTCGATTCTCATCAAAAAGGAATTTGAACCCTATTATTGCTAGCCCACCCCCTCCCACTTAATATAGCTAATATCGTTGTTAAAAACAAAAAAAAAATTGACAAAAAAAAAAAAAAAAAAAAAAAGATTAGAATTGCCGTAGCCTCTTCTCAGGCATTCGGGGGCCATCCGATAAAATTGAAGGATTAGGATAATTACTTTCCTATTTTCACCTAGGATGACGACAGTGTTCTTGTTAGTTAAGAATTAGGAGTTAAGTTTTAGTAAGAATCAGAGTTTGCAATCAACTTTTCTTTCCTTGTCATTTGATTTGTTAACATGGTAGCGAGTTCGATCCCTCTGTAATAAAGGTATGCTCCTTGTGGATGCAAATTTTCGCCATCTTCTCATTTGATGAAAATGCATTTGTAAAATAATAACATCTAAGATTAAGGCCAAAAGCCTCACTCGCCTACGATGAAGGGAGCGCAGGTGGGGGGGCCTTTGGCTGAAGAATCTCCGATGCCAAAGTTAGAATTCTAAAAAGAATTTGTTTAAGAGTTTGTGGGTAGCAAATGGTTTAGCATTTTAGTAAGAGAATATGACTATTTATAGGGGAGTGACCTGCCCTATTTGGAGAATGGTAGGCAGCCATATATGGTGGAATTGTGTGAATAATTGCAAGATATTATGTTAAATAGCTATTAACTGGGCAATTAATCCTAAATTAAATAGGAAAATTTGGAGTTACCTTTTGAATAAGGATTTAATGATGAGAGGGATTTGACTAAATACCATTTTGATCACCTTTCTCTTCCTTGATTGCGCCGTTATAGTTTGTTGCATGCGCGTGGAAATCCTGATGTGCCTCGAGGGTAATTTTATCCTTCTCACCCAAAATTTCACGTATCACCTCCGTAATTTTCTTGATTATTTTTAGCTCCACAACCCTAATGAATACTTTGTTCTCTCTATCAAATATGATTCCTTTTTTGAAATTTTATCAGTTATCGTTTTACATATATCATAGTTTTTTTCTGTTTTTTTTTTCGGGCTTCTGCTTTCGTTCATTATTCTTGTTTTGCATGTCGACCTTACTTTCCTATTTTCTTTTCTTGTTGTCTTATATATATACTGCTTCTTTTTTTGGTAAAGAAAAAAAAGATTTGAAGTCTCATCGGTAGTTTTTGCTTGGGCTGAAGTTATGCATTCTTCTTTTCTCAATTGTCTTCATAGTTGCATGTTTCAATGAAGTTTTTAATTAGCCCTTGTTTGTAAAAGGAGCAAAACAAAATAATATGGGTGGTGTCATGAAATAGCGGTTGATGGTTGGATTCATTCTTCAAATCATTAAAAGTATAATCTAATAATCATCAACCACCACATCATGTAGTTACAAAATATGGTCTAATAAAAGTTTACCTAGCATTTTCCAAATAATGTTGGCCTAGACAAACATTGGTCGCGAATACTAGGTCTATGATGGTTGTTGTTGGTGTAACTGAAGGCGGTGCTTATTTTTGAACAAAGATTGACCACTCATGCATGGTCTAGGATGGATTTCGACGTTCATATTGACATTGGCTTATTGGAATTTGCATAATTGGTATGGAAATTGACGTTGAAATTTTGTATTGGCATTGATTTTGACATTGAAATTTTGTATTGGCATTTGTAACGGGCATATTTACTGGCTTTATTATTGACAAACTTATGAAATTGAGCAAAAAATAAGATAGCGGTTAGCTTATGAGTTTAATGGACAAATGGTCCCATTGTGGTTTGCGGGACGAAAGCATTATTCATCGGCTAAGTAACATTAT